AGCAGATTTCCATATTAGAGGATTATATCCACCAATAATTTCATTAGTTCCTTTTATTTTAATAAAAGTGACAGTCATAGGCTTGTTATCGCATAATGTGTGAAATATTTTAGGCATAAATCCGTCCCGACTTCCTCTCAATAATAATTCAAGTTTATATGGTAAATATAAACCTACAATATTATTTAAATCAAATTTATCGATCCATGCAGAAATTAAGGAAACCGTGTTTATAGTAATTATTTTTGAATTAATAATTGTTGAATCCAAATTTCCAACTCTAGGAGGTAAGATTTTATGGGTTATCTGAGTTTCGGGATCCAGGTGGTATGCTAATAAATTTTCATAAAGTTTATGTTCTAAAAGCCCTTTACATGGATGAACTCTTCGAAAAAAGTCTTTAGAGGGTATATCAAAAAATCTGATTAACGGTAAACAATGTTGCAAAGTGTTTTCCATTGCTTTGAAATCATCATTAGTCCAAGATTCGGGATCCGATGCAAGAGTTGGATTTTGTGCAAGTCCCCATCTTAATACATGATTCCAAACTTCAATTTCCTTCATTTTTAAATCGTCCCTTTCAATGATTGAAATTAAAGTCTTTTCAGAAAGAAAAGTCAAGTCAATTGACTTGAATAATTTGTCAGGTGTTTCAGATATTAAATCATTACAAAAACGTTGAAGGTTTAGAAAATTATTAGGTTGAAAGCTTGCTTGGTAAATTGTCTCAAAATGTCGCTCCATCCATTCGGATTTGTTTTCAATTAAATAGTTTTGCAAATAATCAACTAGCTCTTGAAGACATAGTTTATTAGCAGCTATCAAGACTTTAATAATGTCTGAAAAGTCTTGCTCATTAAATGTAAGAATACCGCCATAAATATATCTAAATTATGAAAAGAGAGGATTGAATTTAAATGTTTAAATTGTAATATACTGTATGTTTAGTTGTATAAACTTACTTTAAAATAATTTGAAAGATTGCTGGTGATATATTTGGCAATTTCAATTGTGTCAAGATATTATCATCATTTTTTTTATTAGAAGCCAAAGCTCGTCGTAAATACGAGGAACGGTAGCATAAAATATTCATGTGAGCACGGAATATTTTTACATTATAATCTACACCAACTTCCACAGTAACATCGCAATATTCATCATCATCCAATAACTCAATGTAATTTTGACTTAAATTTGAAAGAAACTGTACAGACATTTTTAAAATTTTATTTTTGGAGGATTTATTTTGAAACAAAACCGGATAAACCAGATAAGGTAAATTATTTAATCGGAATGATCTATTTATTAAGGTATATTGCAGATCAGTACATTTCGCGTACCGGACCAGTAGGAGTACGAATTCATTCTTTCGTACTAGTCCCGTGACTTGAAGTTGATATCAAACTTAAAAATTATAATTTTAAACGATTTAATCCTTATTTATTTCAATAATAAAAAATCAATAAAAAAAAAAATTTTTTATTGGACAAATACATCATATTATTATTTTGTATTTTGATTTTTATTTTATGTAGCAATGCTTTTCATTAAATTTATTTTAATAAATCAAAAATTACTCGATTAGGTAAATGATGCAGATCGTGCATTTAATCTTATTATTGAACTATCTACTTTTAATTTTTTTTTAAAAAAAAAAGCATCGGTCAGGCAATTGCTTCAGGCTGACGATTTTTTCAAAATCTTGCATCCTTTTCTTAGATTCAACTCATAATCAAATTTTTTTTTGGTTTTTTTAGTTCTTTTTAAAGTTATGAATTCTGTCACTTCAGATCATGATAGTATAGTTTATTTTACCAGTGTGATAGGTTAATTATATTTTTTATTTTTTAAACTGCTATAATAAAGATTTTTATTTTATTTTTGTTAACATTCTTTTTTTAATTTTAATTTTTTTTTTTAGACTATTTTATGATTTTCTTTAGGTTGGATCATTACTTAGGTAAGTATTTTAATCTGGTTTATTCATATTTATACCGACACAAAACAAGGGGTTCGTCATACCCTATTTATCAATGTGTATATTCTTTTTTTTAAGTAAATGTAAATTGGGTGATTCTCATGAAAAAAAAGGTACGATATATATCAATGAAAAAAGGGTCGTTAAATATACGCTTTAAACCATTGATGTTGCAACGATCAAATAATTATTGAATTTTCGTGATTAGTAAGCTACAAACACGTAATTTGTCAAATAATATAAAAATTGATACTCAAAGAGTTGGTAAAAAAAACCTGTTCATATGAATAAATTAATATATATAATATGAAATTCGTTACACAGCATGTGCCCAGTGATAATAAACTTCAGACACACATATACAGTATGATGAAAGAATCACTTTAAATTTACACTAAATCACAAGAGTTAAATATACATCACTTTTATTATACATGTACAGTAATTTATAAGCATCAATATAGCGTCAGCCTTTAGAATCTCCTTAAAATAAATTAGTACACTATAGCAAGAAAGTCAACCAGTAACTAGAAAATCTCAAAAATTTTTCACAACATTTTTATAATGAACCGGTTTGAATCGATTCTGCCTTTTACCGTTTAATGGGACTGGTGCATAACTGGTCTTTAAAAAGATGGTCCTAATGCAAATCTTGTGAAAAAGTAAGATCGCAGTCTAAAGTAGTATGGCACAACAAATTAACGTTTTAAAGATAATAATTGGACAACATATGTTATGGTACAGCATCACTAGCCGGTTGGAGAAAAAAATGAGTATGATGTATTATGACTAAAATATTTAAAAATGAATATTAAATTATATTTAAATAATATTTTATTTAAAAAGAAAAACACCGATAAAAAATAAAATTCTAAAAATCTACTCACCTTTTTGTAAGGTTCAGAATATGATCAATTCTAAAGGAAGAAAAGTGTAACATTTAGTTTTATTTTCTCTATATTTAATTTTTGTGGATTCGGAACCATAAGAAGCTGAAGCAACAAGCAATTTTTCAGCCTACTTATTTAATTAGTAAATTTTTTGGGGGCATCCACACTATCTCAAACACCATATCTATTCTCACCCGTTTTGTTCTAAAGTAAGTGATTTATCAAGTGGACGTCTCATAGTACGAAAAGGAACTGAAGTGGTAGGTAACTTTAAGTTTTTTTTTTTTATTTAATCCCGATTTTGAGCTTAAGCTTGCTAGTTTGCAAAGATATTGAAGTAGGAGTGGGATAGAAGGTTAAGTGGTGTAGACGCAATATGTAGATTTGTGCAAAATATGTAGATATTTTTAAAACAAGAGAAGTAAGAATGGGAAAATTAAGTATCTGATAGTTTTAAAAGTTTAAAAAAAAATGAAATTACTAACTTTTGTTTTACGAATCATTAATTTTTAACTTAATTAAATTATTTAAGTTCAAAATTTAATTTTAATAATTTTGTGTAAGTCTATTATAAACATTAAAAATTATTAAGTAAAACTAGAAATGAACGAAGAATATCTGGAGTATATTGTTCTGCACATGTTAATTCATAAAGCCATCTAGTTCTAAGAGGTTGTTGATATTTAGGTAATTTATATTGAATTCGTTCTTGATAAAGCATACGAATATGATCAGAATTAATTCCCATTGGAGTTTCTTTATTACTTTTATTATAGCTATCATGGATCTCCAAAGTTAAATATAGAAGATTTTCAGGAAGTTTCTTTTGTGAAAGTCCACTTATGCTAGGTAATTTTCCAAAACATATTTCCTTAAAATTATTCATAATAATATGCACTACATGAAGACTGCAAGGAATCTATTAAGATCTAACTCCAGTTAATTTATTAAATAATGCGACTGCTCCTCCAATTTTATTACTCATATAATTTGTATTATCAGATACAAAAGTCAAGCATTGGTGAGAATTTATTTCAAAAGTGTTATATATTGCTTGTGCAACAGATTTTCCAGTACAATTATCTAAATTCTTCATTTCAATTAGCTGAAAATCAGGAGCGTTATTCTTATAATTACAAAATATTAAACAAATAATGAAAAAATTTTTTTGACCTCTTGTTGATTCATCTGCCATTATACCAAAAGCATGAAACTCAGAGCTATTACCCTGATCAAAAATTTCATTTACATGCATTTCACTGATCTCCTTATTCCAGCAAATGACGGATTGTATTGAAAATGATAAGGGTAAACTTTCTCCAGTTAGAAATCTTAAAATTATTTGTTTAGTTTGAACAGTACTTCGAAATGAGATTTGGCCGACTTGAGAAACCTGTGTTGCTGCATTAATAAACTCAGTTGTATATTGAGATTTATTTTTCATAATAATTGCTTTGATTGCTTCTTTGAGAGTTTGTGAATCAACCAATAATGGCTTACGAGCTGTAGCACGGACTTTTGATATGTTTTCGCTTATATTGTGATAGTGTGCCTATTAGTTGTTTAACTTTGTGACTTTTTTTAACATTAGAACGTTCTAATTTGGTTATTTGCTTTTGAAGTGTTTTATTATTTTGAATCAATGAGCTTGAACTTTGACCTGCTTTGTAAAGGGTTGAATTTACAAAATCCAAAGCTTTGTTTTGTAAAAATGGTAAAAGCAAATTACCCTGATATGGTCCTTTAGAGTATCGCATATTATTAATCAAATGACCTGCATATTTTAATTGATTATCCGGTAATTTTTTAATTATTTCAATTAATTCTTGGCGATATGTAAGTTTGGTTGAAGAAATTTTGATAGATTAATAGCAATTCATCATCATTCATCTGTGCGAGTTCTTTGTTAATTACAAGAATTAGTAAGTTTTTCTGTTGGGTGGATCTTCGCATATTTACAGAAATTTGGCTTGCACTGCGCGATTTAATTTTTCTTTTGGAAATTTTTGGCATTCCTGTCTATTATAATGTTATATACTAATTAGTAATCTTTAAAATAATTCACTGCATTATTGAAACGTCGATTTACCTTCAAATTTTCACAGCAAGTTTATATGTAGTTTAAGAACAAAGTTACGTTACGATATTTCGTTTTGTAAAAGAAAATTTCAAGATCATTTTTAAGAAAGAATATTCAATCCATTTTTAAAAAATTAACGTAGTTACTTTGCAACGGTTCTTACGAATATTTCCAACAAAAAAAAAGAAGAAAAATAAGCTCAATATTGGTGGGAATCTTTTAGAAGTTTGAGTTTATTTTAATAATAAATGATTATGAAAAAGGATTCAAGTTTATTTTAAGCTTTATGTAACAAAAATTTTGATTATATTAAAACTAATTAAGTATCTGATATAGTTTTGATAAATTAGTCGGTATGACACCCCAGTACAATACTCAATAAAGCTCAATTTTTTTGAATTTTAGTAATCTTAATTTTCTTACCGGATACAAAAGAACAAGAAAAAACAATTTCACTTTGACCGACTAAAAAACCACAATATTAATTTATTTTCCTTAAAAAGACGAATGCGAAAAGTTACAGAAAGAAGTAAACTTCACATTCCACGAAGCAAATTAAAGTTTTTCATATTTAACATGAAACTAAACTATCATTTGATGAGTATTTTAAAAAAAATTTATAAAGACTAGGATAATAACTTAAACACGAAGTCTAAGTTTTCCACGGGGCAAGACTTTCAGCCGTCAAAATCAGGATGTTAAAATACTAAAACTAGTAATCTCATTCATTCTAAACAAATTGTCTCTTTTTTTTTATCAAAAACATCTGCTAACTGGTCCCGGACATTGCTCCCTGAAGCGTTGAATTCCAAGAAAGAAATTTACATAATGTTAAATTTAACTGAGGTTACACACAATAAGCATTTTATGATGAGTTCATACGCAAAATACGTAAACCACAGAATTCTGAAAATATCTTTAATAGTAATTAAAAGTACTTTTTAACAGGCGAGTTTTGGATGTTGCTGGAGCTACTTAGGGTCCTTAGCTCTAACCATGTGCCGAATTTCCTAAATGGATTAATCAGTTCCCAAGTACGATTGGTGGAATAATAATTGCTATATCTATTATAATGCTACGGCCTCAAAACGATCGAATCGAAAAATAAAAAAATATAAAAATGAAAAACTAAAAATGAAAATAATTAAAGAAAATACATACCTCGCTGTATGTCTACAAGCTAAAGAATTAATGCGGCCAAACGCCTGGAAAACTTATTTAGCAAATGGCAAATGTCGACACCCTACATTTAGACGGATTCGTTAATAATTCTTTGTCAAATAGGTTTTATTATAGTCTTGCCAATGAACCGTCGAAACTCGAGAGTTTTCCAGGCAACTTTAAACCCGCCCGAACAAATAAAAATAACAAAAATAAAAGAAAAATTAATTTAGTGAAAAAATTTATCAAAAATTACTTCCAGATCTTCTAAAATAAAGAATTAAAAAATTAAACAAAAAACCTTTACATACAGCCCGAAAAAGGAAGTTAAAATAATTAAAAAAAGCAAAAAAATTTGCTGCATTTCGAAGCGATATAAAATAAAAAGAAAGAGAAAAAATATTAAATGATAATAATTCACCACTACGATCCAACCCGAAGAGGAACGAACATAAAGAAAAAAAAAAGAGGCGCAAGATTTTATCGATCGCTACGCCCAGAGCGATCTAATGGCGCTCTCAAGCACTTAACTCAATGGATCGGAAATAAAATTTTAATTAACCAGTTATTACATAGAGATTCGTCAACTTGTAGTTAATCTATTGATATTGTTACGATTGAATGTAATTCCGGCCGAAATCTTCATAATTCCGCATGTAAATCGCTTTCGATATTTGCAGTTAGTCCTTTGAAGATTATTTGCCAGCTGTCAAGATGCCATGCTGTCAAGGTGCCAGTATGACAAAATGTTCAAGAGTCAGGCTGGCCTAATTATATTTTAATTTGTAGTTGTAACTTCGTTTATTATTTTTTTTTTAATTTCCGATTAATTAATTTTGTAATATTTTCGTAATTGCGCAGTTTAATAAATTAGAATTTGGCATTTATTTAGTTTAATTGATCAAGCGAAAGTGTAGAGCGATGGTGTTGAGGCTACACTGTTTAATTTGATAATATTAAATAAATCCTTGTCATAATTACTTCATTTTTACTTAATAAATATTCAATTTTATTTAATCAATACCTTCAGCTTATAATACAAATTGTATGTAAAGATTTGTGTTCAAACTTTCTTTATTTTTATTTATATTTTAAAAAAAATAAACAATTAATTACAACAAATCATGTACAATATTTTTAATTTCGAACTATAATTTTTTTAAAAGTTCGCTAACCCAATTTTTTATACTATATTTCTTTCTTCGTTCATCAATGAAAAATAAATAAAGTGATCGTGTAATTCTGCATGAATAAAGATGTGAATGAATTTCCATTTCGAGAAGATGAAGCTCGATTTTGTTTGTTATATCATAATTGAAGTATGTCTATCCATCCTCACAGATATAGGTCACTGGAGACCCAGTATCTACGAAGAAGTGTAAAATATTTATTTGGGTGGCAGTCTAGAAATGGAAAAAAAATTTTTTTTTATTGGTCCATTTGACAGTCCTGTGTTCAAAATTAGCTTAGAAACTAAAATTAACAAAAATTTCATTTTTTACTAACAACCTTCCATCTTCTTAAGTCATTGCAAAAAAAACAAAGCCGGTAATATTGTAATTGTAATTCTTGCGAGGAGTCCGAAAGATATTCGATCCCAAATCTTTCTGTTATTTTAACACATTTATTGTTTTTCTCCAAACGTCCTATAAATTATTTCAGTTCATCCATTTTCGCCCACTTGAACTTGAGAATTTCTCCCATATTTAACAGATGAAGAAGGTTACAACTCCTTTCGAAAATATTTACGTTTTCTCGTGCTAATTGTTAAACGATTGGAAAATCATACCGCTGTGTGGAAGTAAATTGGAGCAGGAATAAGAATATCAAACATACTTTAGGGATAAGTTAGTCATATTTCTGGTAGATTCTTAGCAGAATTGCATGGCCATGAGGAGCAAGGTAGCACAATGATTTGAGTGTGAGGTCGGCCATAGATTATCATCCTACTAAGTATGGCTCACGATTTGTAAATCGCAAAAGCTTTCACTCTATTATTCTTCTTGAAATTGTTGAAATCAGCGGCGATTTATATGTTGGCGAAGCAGGCTTGTAGAGCAATAACTATTTTTGAAAAACGTACATTTAAAATAAAGTAATTTTTGTATCTGTATAATAAATAATATAAGGACCTTTACATGCCGTAGCACTCCCAGTCATGAGATTAAACATGGGTAGGAACTTTGTTCTTTGTTGGATTTTTTATTTAACGTTAAATAAATTGCGTGTCACTACAAAATAAATTCAAAAGAGCTATGCTTATGACGGTCTAGTGTGTAGTTACTGCTGCTACGGTACGTCCTTATTACGTATTACAAATTAGGGAGGTTAGGAAAAAGCACTATTCACATTTAACGTATAATAAAAAACTATTTTGATAAATCAAATCACTAACCGCTTATACGTGTCAATAAAACATCAAATAAAGTTTATTGTGAAGTTCCATCATAGTTAGAAGCACAGTATGGCAAAAAAAAGTTAATGCTCATTGGCATCGGTTTCAACCTATTGCTTTAGAAAATTACTTTTCGGTGTAAATCCTTGTTAATGCTTTAAATTAAGCATAAAAAATAATTGTTGTTTTAATATTAAAGTTTCACCAAGTATTAAAATCAATTAATATATTCATACAGAAATATGATTTAAGTTTATTGGATTTATATTTAACGTTTAATATTTCGATTTTTGATTTGCCTTAATGAATCATTTTATTTAAAAGAAATATTTGCATACATTCAAAATCTTGTGAAACTTCTTATTGATGTGACACCTCTAAAAAACAAAACAGTACAAGCTCAAAATTAAAATGTCACAACCTAGTATTACAATTCGCTAGGACTTGCAAATAATTTATATTTTGAATGTAATGAATCAAAACGTAATTTATTGCCTTATTATCGAGTAATTCATTCAATTTTGCCTACCATTTTCTTATATTGTAACCAGCTCGTGAATTTCAAAATGCTTGAACTTGATATATCTATGTCTATTAATTACTTGTTTCGATTTTCCAAAGTTCATTCTCAACTAATAAACTATGCAATTAATTATAAGTTTTTTGACTTTTATATGACGCAATGTCTCACTTTTGTAATCTTTTTTTTATTATAAAATAATTTTAAACTTTCCCTTGATTGACAAAATAACTATCTTATATTGTGCTATTAGCAAAGTTAGAAACGGTAAAGTTAAATAACAATTATATTAAGATAGGAATATTTAGAAAATAACCTAGTGAACATATTTGTATTAATCAAAATGTAGAGAGAAGGATGAAATATTATAGGATAGGATTTGTGAATTATTTAGAAAATTTAATTATTGTTGCATAAATTTATTGCTTAATATGCAATATCTCATATATTCAATTTGGATTTAGATGCGATTTGAGCAAATAATTAAAATATAAGTTAATACTTATTAATTATGTCTTTTACCATATCAAATCTATGATTTCTAAATAAATTAAATATCAAAATCTATGGTTTTAGAAATATAATCTATGAATAATTCAAA